CTCGGCACAGCAGTGTGAGTGTGCCTCAGCAGCAGAGTGCTTGTCCAGCACATTCAAGGCTCTAGATTCCATCTCCAGGATTTCAACAAACTGAAAAAACGAAACGGGTGGGCTGGGGGCTCGCACCTCTAATTCCAGCTAAACTAAGAAGGCTGCCACTAGCTGTAGGTCTGACTGAGCTGAAAGCGAATTCCATCCAGGCAAGCTTGGGTTAGAGGGTTGCCTTGTCTCAAAAAAGCCCAAATCTGGACCACTGAGATGAAAAAGGTGCTTGCTGCTAAGCCTGCATGAGTTGGATCCCCAGACCCCACACAGTGGAAAGGGAGAATTAACTCCCTTTGCCCTTTGACTCTCATACATTTGCTATGGCATCTGTGACGGGCTTGCTCCAAATAAAAATGCAGCAACATTTTTTTTTAAATATTCATTTTCATTTATGTGTTCCTGTCTGTATGTCACATGTTTACAGATGCCATCAGAGGCCAGAAGAGGGAGTCAGATTCCTCAGAAGTGGAGTTACAGGCAGCTGTAAACTGTTTACCTGGGGTGTTGGGAACCAAACTCTGCTCCTCTGGAAGATAACTGAGTCATCTCTCCGGCTACAGTCTGCATGCGCACCCACACAAAATGCCCATAGCTACCTCAAATTCTATTTATAAGCCAGGTGTGGTGGTGTATGCCCTTAAGCCCAGTACTCAGGAGGCTTAGGCAAGTGGATCAACATGCTGGGAGTGTTAGCACTCTTTATAATCCCAGTGCTTAGAAAGGTAAGAAGTTCAAGGTCATCTTAGGCTATATAACGGAGCTTGAGACCAGCCTGGGTGACATGAGGCCCTGCTTTAAAAACAAGTACAGAAAGGCAAATAAATAGAAGAATTCGACATTAATTATTGAAATGATTATTGCAGTACCTTTCTCCACCACAGAAGCCTATGACGCAACCAGAAATCAAACCACTGGCTTGAATTTCTTGCAGGAGTAAACCACACCAATGAAGCTTCAGTCTTTTCACCAATTCTTTGTATATATATATTAAAAAAAAAAAAAAAAATCAGAAGTTAGCGGAGGGAATGATTGATTCTTGATTATTTAAGTACCAAAGCAGGTCATCTGCCACATTTTGTACCTTTTAACACTGCTAGGTATCTGCTTAGTGTCCGAAACAGGATGGAAACACACTCCAATCTGAGCAAGACCATAAGGCAGCCTTCTGTTTACCAGATCCAGGCCATTAACATAGTGCTCCAAGGCACCTGTCAAAAAACAAACCAATCACTATAGAAATCTATCGCACAGAGGTAAACTGCCAGTGAGTCTGAGCTGTAATTACCATTTAACTTTAGGTAGCGACTCTTCAACTTCTCAGTGTGAACATTTTCAATCTACAAAACACTACAAGAATAGTACAATATGCTAGGTGTGGATTCACACTTGTTATCCTGGTACTTGGCTGAGGCAAGAGGATTGCTCACACTTTGAGGCCAGCCTGGACTACACAGTGATTTCAAGGCCAACTTGGGGTACATAATGAAATCCTGTCTCAAAAGGAGAAACAAAAGAATGAAATAAAGTCTGTCCTATTTGAAGAAACAAAGCCAGGTGTGGTGCTATTTCCCTATATTCCCAGTACTTGGGAGGTAGACTGGAGGATCAGGAGTTCAAGATCATCCTCTGCTACACAGTGGGTGTGAGGCCGGCTTCCGCTGCAAAAGACCCTGTCTCAAATAACAAGAACAAAATCCCACCCCCAAACAACCAAATGGCACCGATATGCTCTTCACCTAGACTTGTCAATTAACATTTTCTCATTTTTTTTCTCATTCACTCCAAACACTATTATTTGTTTCCTAAAAACATTCTCTATTATTAAAGTATAAACTTAACTAAGAAGGAATATCATCTAACATATGGCTGGTATATTTTTTGTTTTAATCCTCACCCCAAACTCAGTTTTTCCTTTTCTTTTTCTGGCTCATTAAGTAAGGACCATGGACTGTTTTGATTAGGCATCTTCAACCTTTGAATCAAGAACATATCCTCAAGGCTGGAGAGATGGTCAGTGGGTAGAAGCAGTTGCTGCCAACCCGAAGACCTGGGTTCTGTCTCTGGGGCCCACCTGTTAGGAGAGAATTAGCTTCTCAAAGCTGTCCTGACTTCCATATGTGTGCTGTGGCATACCCATATATATACATACAAAATAAGTTTAAAAATGTAATAAATAAAAAGAACTCCTTCCTGTCAATTTTCCTTTTTTTGTTCTGTTTTATTGAGACAAGGTCTCACTTATGTTACCCACACTGAACTGAAAAGTCTCATTTTCACAGTCTGCATGCTTGAAGGTAGAGATTTCACTTAAGAGACCGGAAGGTAAAAAAGGTTGATGTTTGGGAACATGGTATATGAGAGTATTTAATGCAATCAATGCTAAGAATATGAAATAAAATATTACAAACTAATCACTTTCGTTTTGTTTTGCTTTTCGAGGTGGGGGTTTCTCTGTGTAGCCGTGGCTGTCCTGGAACTTGCTTTGTGTGTAGACCAGAATGGCCTTGAACTTGGAGATCTGCCTGCCTCTGCCTCCCAAGTGCTGGGATTAAAGGCGTGTACCACCACTGCCTGCCTCATTTTTATTTTTTAGAACTTCTACATCATGTTGTATTTGACTTTAAAGAGAAAGATGCAGGGGCTGGAGAGATGGCTCAGCGGTTAAGAGCATTGGAGCACTGGCTGCTCTTCCAGAGGTTTGGAGTTCAATTCCCAGGAACTACATGGTGGCTTACAACCATCTAGAATGGGATCTGAAGCCCTCTCTGTCATGCACGCAGACAGAGTACTCATACCTAAAATAAATAAAAAATAAAAATTTAAAAAGTAAAAAAGAGGAGGATGCGTACAAATCATCTATAAAACTTCATTTTCTAGATGGCAAGCCAAAAAATTACCTAGCAAGGGAAAAACAGTGACATTAAGTCGACAATTTCATGTATGTAAAACTGAAGAGTAGACGAAGTCTTTGAAAATGTTTTGGTACCAATGGAAGTTTAAATATGTGACTGAATTAAGGCCTTAATTCTGCAGGATTGAGTTCTAAGGGGTTGCTTTTCAAACTGAATGCTTTCCCCATTTCCTCAGGCATGATGCGGACATTTACCTTAAGGTAGATCACCTTGAATGTTATTTAAATTTTTTTTAAAAAAAAAAAAGGAAATCTGGTCATTTCTTTCTCTTTGGAAACCCAGGGCCAGCTGCTGTCTCCTAACTCTTGTAGACTTCCTTTCCACCCCAAACCTGTTCAGAAGCACGAAACGCAAAGAGCCGTACCGTGAAGGAGAGTCTCCCGTAGTTTCCCAGAAGTTTTTAATAAGTTCTCAAGAAATGCCACTAGCTGTTCTTTACTCAGCTCTTTGTCTTGCAAGATTTCGCGTATACATTCTGGAGAAACTAACCTGAAGGCACTGTCCCCGGCCTGCGAAGGGCCTGGTTCGTGGTGGAGGGCGTCCACCGCGAAGACCTGCTCCCTGAACACCACCATGGAGGACCACCATTGTGAGGCTAGGTTCTTTCGCAACTCTACCCCCAAAGGTCCAAAGCCCGGGTGGCACCCGCTCAGGAGAGCAGCCGGGCTGAGCTGCTGCGGCGTCCCGCTGAGAAAGTGCCTTCTCCGGCAGAGGTCTACCAGCGCCTCCCGGTCCTCTGCACGCTCGGGGGCCGCCAGCTGCTGCGGCCCGTCTGCGGGCCCCGCACACCCAGAGAGCCAGCACCTGCAGGCACTGCGGCAGGCCCGGACCATGGCACCTGAGCGCATGGCTTCCGGAGTCGGGAACACTAGCGCCGCCGCTGGGAAGTCCTGTCTCAGAGACGAACATCAGGCCCCAGGACGCAGGCGCGGCGGAAACGAACTGCTGGAGACCACGCCCCCGGAAGTGCGCCACCGCTCTGACCGCAGCCTCCTTGGGCGTATCCCTGCTTCCGCCCGCGTCTGCGGTTGTTTACTAACTTAGGGATTTTTCCGCGTTTGGCAGTTCCACTCACTTCAGCTATTACACCATTCTATAACTACTACGGAGTTAGCATCAACTCGTGTTTTTCCTAGTTGCCAAGACTACCAAAATGTTGTCGGGGACAACGCTGGTGTTAAGGCCTAGCGTTCAATCCCCAAGAGAAATGCGTTCACTACTCACTTCCGTGTATAGAGTCTGGCTGTTCTTTTTTTTTTTTTGGTTTTTTTTTTTTTTTTTCGAGACAGGGTTTCTCTGTGTATCTTTGCGCCTTTCCTGGAACTCACTCAGTAGCCCAGGCTGGCCTCGAACTCACAGAGATCTGCCTGGCTCTGCCTCCCGAGTGCTGGGATTAAAGGCGTGCACCACCAACGCCCGGCTCGAGTCTGGCTGTTCTTAAAACATTCTAGTCCTTTAAACTGGCAAATACTGCCACTGGTGGCCCACTTCAGCGCCCCTCTGGGTGTGGCTGGAGCAGCAGGTCTTTCTGGACCTTTAACCTCCATAACGTCCAAACAACAAAAGTACCCCCCACCCCCCAGGACAGGGTTTCTCTGTGTTAACCACCCTGGCTGGCTGTCCTGCAACTCAGGTTTGTAGACCAGGTCGGCCTCGAACTCAGAAATCTGACTTCAGTGTTGGGATTAAAGGTCTGTCTGAATTGAAGTTTCCCTTAAAATGGTTATGGATCTCTGAGAGATCAGTAAACCTAGCAGGTAACATGCTGTACTCGTCTAGGGAAAAGAGAGCGGCTTGTTTGTAAGACCAGCAGTTTGTGTAACCTGTTTGAGTGCAAGTTAATAGGGTTGGGGAGTGTGATGAAGCACAGGCCAGGTGTGGTAGTTCACTCCTTAAATCATTAGTTCCAGCACTCAGGAAGGGCAGTCTTTGATTTCAAGGCCAGTCTGGTCTGTGTCAAGTTCCCAGACAGCTAGGGTGGGGAAGGTGGGGGGCTGCAAACCCCCAGGTATGATGGTCTACGCAAATAAATGAAGGAGAGAATGGGGAGAAAAACCACATTTATTAGTTAAGACAACCACAGGCTGGACACAACACACATGCTAAAAAGTGGACTGTCTTTTAAAACTTCAAAGGTATTTTTTTCCAAGCCCCACAATCATTTCCATAATATTTACAAAATAAAAGGCCCACATTAAGACATTGAACAGTAAAGTATGTAATAAATGCTCCAATCTACCTATAATTAAAAATCATGAATTTGACTAGCCATGCCATTGGACACCACTCAGGGTACTTGAGGACGAACCAGTTTTCAATGTATCAGCCCTGGAAAATATTCGCTGTTAACCCCAGCTCCCACCCCCAGCACATTCTAATTTGTTCTACATTTTATAAATAAGGAATTAACATCAAAGCCTTTAAAAAAAAAATCAAATTCCTTTAGGACTTTTGTCCTGGGCAAAACACACCATTTTCTGGGAAGACATTTAGATCTACTGATAGCCATTCTGAAATAAAGCTGTTGGGAAATTCACTTAAAACTATGGCTATCCCCTGGATCTTTCTAGCAGTAAGTACATCTCTATCTCATCTTTAGAACTCTTGGTATGTTGCCCGACTTGGTTACTTTTGAGGTTTTCCTCCTTGTGTCGGAGTACTGACTAGTCTACAATCTGAAGACCTCTAAAATGCCCTGAAATAATGTGGAGACATTCCTGACTGCCAGTCTGGCTTTAAGAACCCTGGCAAGTTGGTGAGGACTAGACCCTACAAAATAAGCTGCACTAAGGACAAAGCCCACAGCTCTTGGGGTTAACAGTCTGTCAGCTTTGTATATTTTGGAAGTTAACAATACAGCCAAAAGCCAGAATAAAGTATGTCATCACTTAACTGTTTTGCAAAAGAACAGTCACCATATTATATCCCTGATGCTGAAAGCTACTGACAAATTTATAAAAATCCACTGTCTCTAAAATTCTTCCCATATGAGATATCTTAAGGGCCTCTGATTCCCTCACCTAAGTCCTAAATCAAAGAATGGCAAGTAGTCAACTTTAGTTTTTGTGTAAAAATAAACACCAAAACAAAAGAAAATCCCCCCAAATCATACTATCTAAGCCAAGTTTTACATGACATTATATATGTAAAATAAAGTACAATTTCCACTTAATTCAGTCTTCAAATATCTTTTATTGGAAGGCCATGCATTGCCTTCATTTATTGTATTTGAAATCACTGTACAGTTACTTTTGTGAAAACACTGCCTGCATTTTCTAGTACAAAAAAAACCTAAAAATTGTTTCAGGAATGTAGAGAAATATCCAACTTAAATAGCGAAAAAAGTGCACCATAATCACTGCTGCACTGCAGTCATTTCTGCATTTCCCATGTTTCTTAAATAACTATCTTGTCTGATAACACACAATATAAAGAGCAATTATGAAAAACAGACATTTACATATACTTCTAAAGTCTTATTGAGAATACCCTGTTGGCATTGGATAGCCAATCATAGGCGCAGCAGCTGCGGTAGCAGGATATGCATATGCCTGTTGGTTCATACCATTGTGCATATTTGCAACATTACTTCCATATTGCTGAGTGCTATCATAACCGTTCTGGTAAGTCCCTGTTGGGTTACCAGTCCGAAAACTGGTCTGTATACCAGCAGATACAAAATTACTCCCAAAGCTCCCATTGGTGTAATTTGCAGCACTGTAAACACCATTCTGAGTTTTAGCCCCAAAATCTCTCTTCAGCAGACTAGAGTAACCTCTGTCATAATTTTCCCTGTCTCTAAAGGTGTTAAATCCACCCCTTTTGCCCGCAGAGTATCTGTCACGACGATCATCCTTCATGCCTCCTCTACCCCTGGAACGACCTGTCAAAAAGTAAGTGAAAATGGGTCAATTTTATCTATGGCATTAAATGTGCTAACACAGGAGTTAGCTCTATTCATGCTGGGTTTTTAGAATTCTTAGGTTTCAAAATGAACTACTTACCCCTCCAATCCCATTTAAAATACTTTGTAGACAACGAGGTGACCCCAACTACTTGTAACATCTCTTACCTGAACCTCTGTCTTCGACCAACTGAAGCAACTTGGGATTAATTGCTTGATTAGCTTCCCGAAGCACAGAGATAAGGTCGCTCACTTGCTTTATGTTATTAGGTGTAAAGAAAGTGTATGCTGTGCCTGTTTTGGTACTGCGAGCAGTTCTTCCAATTCGATGAATATAATCCTCTGAGGAGTTAGGGTAGTCATAATTGATGACAAATTTCACATCTTCCACATCTGTAAGGTGTTGCAGTGTGGCAAAATAGCAATGTACGGAGTTTTGCACACCACAACAGCCAGACCAAAAATAAAAAGTTAGACAATTGTATTCCCAAGAAGGTACGGGCTGCAAAAAATACAGTTAAAATGGTTATCCATTTCCTGTAGGAATACCATTGAGGTAGAAAAAAAAGAGGGTGGGGCAGGAAAAAAAAAAAAAAAAGCACATGTCAGCTGTATTGAGTTATCACCCGCCCATTGACAGCCTATGGAGGGAATGTGTATTCTCCTCAGCACATTCCCAAATTGGCAAAGTCCCCTTACAGATCATCAAGTGACATCTGAATGCTTCTGCGCAGTAGGGCCACTTAAAAGTTTCACAGCAACCTCTTCATGTGCTCATTTTTGAGGACCTCTAAAAAAAAATGTACAAGGTCCTTTGCATTACACTCATCAGAAGTTCAAAATTCTGGCCACACTGCTCGTCTTGCCAAGACCTTACAACTGCAGCTGTAAGAAAAACATACCTGTCCCCCAAAAGTTGTTTTAATGCACTGTGTCTCGTCTAGGCAAGCACTTCCAAGAAGCCAGGATTCACTTGAGAATGTGTCTCTCTCTGGCAGGTCTCGACATGACGACTACTGTGTAGGTGAGGGAGGAACTTTCAAGGCACTTTCTTTTCCCACTGACTATGTGTGAGAAGTTGATCCTGCTCTAGGTCTCATGTGCCAGTACTCACCAATTTGTAAAAGGCTTAGTACCTTTTAAAGCTGCTCTCTCCATTTCAAACTTGAACAAAAATTTCATTGAACATTGAAGTTTGGAAATATTTCTTCGACATTTCAGCAAACTCACTGAAACTCAAAGACCCACAGATCACAGTGAACAGTTTGAAACAATGCTGTACCATGGCAATCATGCAAAGCATGGGACAGATGAAATACCACGGCAGTGAACTGTGAGGTAACTTCCATTTTTTTCCCCCGGAGAGAACAGTTTATGGGGCAGAGATGGTATGTTCTGCCCTTTGAAGATTACTGGCACACTTTCAGCTTTTCACCTCTCTAATCGACTGGAAGCAGCCAGCCGATCACTAGTCCTCCATCCCCCTCGAGTCCTCCGATTGTCATGCCTAGGCCTTGCCACAAAGACTGCACCTTTATGTGAAAAAAAACTTAGAAAAAATGCAGAGGTTAAAGAAAGCAATAAACTTTCTTTAAAAAAAACTACATGGAGATCTTCTGGGAAACCAAGCCATGAATTCGAGTTTGTACTAACCTAGCCCTCTGGAGGCCACATCGGTAGCAATCAGAATAGGAGCTTTTCCGTGTTTGAATTCTACAAAAACATACACATAAAAGATCATGATTCCAAGCAAATGTTGCCATGCTACAAACCAATTTCATCTTATTTGAAATACATACCATTTAGAACCCAGTCACGTTCCTGTTGACTCTTGTCACCGTGGATGCCCATGGCAGGCCACCTATATCAACAAGTTCTATTAGTGCACTCACATTTTAAAACCTGAAGGCAGAATCTACCAATATTTAACCCTACAGCTCTCCTACTGAGCATATGCCTGAGCTGTTACCACTACACTGTCCCTGAAATTAATGCTTGTAATGATTACCTATACTGTAGCACAGGATACCCACACAACTCCCTGCTTCTGATAAAAGTACTTTTGCCCTTTTCTAAAGTCTGCCTTGATGCAGGAAACCACATACCCATCTCTCCTCATTTTTCTGGTAAGTTCATCACATCTTCTTTTGGTTTCAACAAAAACAATGGTTTTATTCTCCTTCTCACTCATGATCTCTTCCATTAGACGAATAAGTCTAAAGATAAAGAAAAAAATTGTATGTGCTTAGTGAAACAGTTGAATGTATATCAATACAAAACACATGCCCATTAAACCACTAAGGTGATTGATTCTGTTCTTGGTCCTTCAGGAAAGCTTATGACCCACGGCTTTTCTTTCTTTACAGAAGTGTTGGTTCTAGCAAGCACACCATCCAAAGAACATATCTATGAAGACTGGCACACCACTTGGTGTGCTTGCGTGGTCGCTAGGTTCACACTCTTCAGCTTTTTTGCTCACCAGTCAGGCAGAGAAGTGCTTTATTACCAAGCTATATCCCCCAATAAACAGATCTTAAAAAGAATGTATACCACACTAAATTTCATTTTAAGACATCTTTCAAAACTACTCTGTTGTATAAGCAAGATTTCCTCAAATTGCTAAAATTTAAACTTACTTTTCATCCTTTTCTACATCATGACACACATCCACAATCTGAAGAATGTTGTGGTTTGCACTCAGTTCCAGTGCACCAATGTTGATGTGAATATAGTCTTTCAGGAAATCTTCAGCAAGCTGTCTTACTTCTTTTGGCCAAGTTGCACTCCACATTAGGGTTTGCCTATCAGGCTAAAAAATTTAGGGAAATAAATTAGCTTGCAAAACTAAGAGTAAACTTAGAACTGATTTTTACAAGAACATAAGGATACATACTCTTATTTGATCCACAATTTTCCGTATTTGGGGTTCAAATCCCATATCAAGCATCCTATCAGCTTCATCAAGGACAAGGTAAGTTGTTCTTCTCAGGTTGGTTTTCCCACACTCTAAAAAGTCAATCAGTCTTCCAGGTGTTGCAATACAGATTTCCACACCTTTAATTAAAGGAGTAAATGTAAATATAGTATGTAAAACCTTCTCCCTATTAGTAACAGAGACCCCCTTAATGATCATATACCTCTTTCCAAATCACGAATCTGTGGTCCCTTGGGAGCACCACCATAGATGCAAGTAGACTTCAAGCGACAAGCTCTACAGTATTCAGCAGCAACTTGCTGCACTTGCTGGGCCAGTTCTCGAGTTGGTGCCAGCACCAAGCACTAAGGGGGAGAAAAAAAATATAAATAAAATGCGCTTCTAGTACAAAATAGGATACTAGGGTGTTGTGTCTTTTTGGGGTTAAGATTTGTGCTGACTATTCAATTCAGATTGACACAAGATTTTACTTTATTTGTTTTTCAAGACAGGGTTTCTCTGTGTAGCTTGGCACCTTTCCTGGAACTCACTCTGTATGTAGCCCAGGCTAGCCTGGAACTCTGAGATCTGCCTGCCTCTGCTTCCCGAATGCTAGGATTATAAAGCCATGCACCAACATCGCCTGGCAAGATTTTATTTTTTAATTAATTTAAGACAAGGCCTTGTCACTGAAGCTGGTCTCCAATTCCTGGATCCTCCAGTTTCTGTCTGGGATTACAGTACTGAGATTATAAGCATGGACCACTACGCTTAGGATAAAGAGACACTGATTGAAGAGAATTCTTTTACATTTACTTATTGAACTCAGTCATCAGACTGGATAACAAGCATCAAGCTTATTACTGTCCTTGGGCAGCACTAGGTTTTAAACTCAAGTTCCGTCCTCTACCTCTATGAAAGTCAAACCAGCTCTAGCAAATTGGGTGTGTTATGTAGTCTACAAATCTCTACTGTAACAACCAAAAAAATTTACAAGATATACTTACAATAGGCCCATCACCTCTCTCTAGGAATGGCTGATGATTTATGTGGACAATGGCAGGCAGCAAATACTATTGGAGATGAAGAATAAAAACAGCAGCAATTGTATTAAAATGCTTTAAAAAGGATTACCCAGGTCACCTCTCCCAGAATAGCCAAGTTTTCCTAAACTTACAGATAAGGTCTTCCCAGATCCAGTCTGAGCTACTCCAACCATATCCAATCCACTTAGAGCAACTGGCCAGCCCTGAGCTTGAATAGCAGTGGGTTCAGTGAAGTTCTGTCTTGCAATCACATCCATGACATTTGCTGTAACCAATAATACCATTTTAGCAAAAAAAAAAAAAATTTTAGGCAAAAAGAGGGAACAAATGAAAATGATGATGATGAGAATTAGTCCTTACCAGGAAAGTTTGCTTCATAAAAATTCAGAACAGGTTTTGGACAGTTGTGACCCCGAACTGTAATTTCCTTGCTTCTTCTGTATGTATCTACCTCTTGCTGAAAAAGAAATCATTTGTCTCAAACTTCGGTCAGCTACACTGACAAGTTTCCTATAGCTCAGTAACAAATTCAGTGGGACACTGGAAGTTAAACCACAAATAACTTTTCAAATCAAGACATTTGCAAGGTATGTTAGTTTCCATCTAATTGAGTAGAAGCTGTTACCCCAAGTAAAAGCCACATTACTCACCGCGGTGCGCCTTGCCAAATCAGGGTGTTCCTGATAAAAATTCTTCTCAAATTTGGGCAGCTCATCAAGATTCCACTTCTTTTTAACTAGTTTCTCCCCAGGATTTCCAAACTTCTTTCCAGAGAGGGGTCCTGTTCTACTCCCTCCGAATCTTGGTGCACCAAATCTATGGGGGAAAACCCACACCGTGAAAGAGTTTTACACCCACGTTTTATTTAATGGCTTTTGCTACCGAGCCAAACTTCATTTCTGGAATCCCTCCCAATTGTCATTCTCTCGACAGCCACAACTGGCACACTATTTCTTTACTGTAGCCCCAAGCACCCTCTTATTGAGGCCAAACAAACAGCCTGGATTTATCAGGTCGGAAACTGCCCAAACGTCTCAAGTTCAGATTACAAGGACAGATAACAGCTTGAGACTCCATATACTCTCCCCACAAAGCTTAGGAATTAAGAGTCTAGGAGCTGGGCAAGAAGGGAGGAGCTTAACAGGGTTATTTTTGCCAGTGTTTTCGACCAAAGGAATCGATGTTAAAAGAATAACGGGACTGCGCAGACAATGTGAGCAGGAGAATGAGGAGGGTGTCGCGGGCAGGGTAGAAAGGGGTGCACACGCCGGCGAGCCGCGTTTTGGGGTAACGCCGCGAACCGCGGAAGCGCTACAAATCAAGGTAGCAAAATTATATAACGCGAGGGAAAAAAAGAGGAGGAGCCGGCGACAACCGGGGGAGGAGTCCCGGGCCGGGCGGCGTTCCCGCTGGGGCGGCGCTTCCTTCTTTGTCTCGCATTTCTCTCTGCGCCACATTTTCTCGACGCTGCCATTTTGAGCGCCTCCGCCGGGCGGGGTAACAAAGGCGCCGCCGCCATGTCCGAGGCCGGCATTTTGTGGCCGCGGCTCAGCCGCATGGCGGAATCCGCCGACGTTGCCCACCCCACCGGGCACGGATGGCCTCGAAAGCGACCCCCCTACCCCCCGGTAACACCGGGGGCCCCTCCAACCCCCGCCGGAAGGCGGCTCGGAACACCGCCTCGGGCCGCCTTCTCAAAGGCGCGGCGCCCCCTCGCTCGCTCCACACGGCCCTCCGGGGCTCCTCTCGCCAGCCGCGGGGGCTCCGGGGCCGCCGCGGGTCCCGGTCCTCCCACCCCGGAAAAAAAGCGAGGCTGCGCCCCCTTACCAAGAACGTCGCCTCTAAAAGGCTTTTTTTGTTTTTAGTCGGATATCCGAAATCGGAAAAAGGCAGGGCCCCCCTTCGAGAGAGAAATCCCCCGGGTGGGTCGGTCGGTCGGTTGGGAGCCCGAGCCCCTGCCGCGCCGCCCTCCCATCCCCCACCCGCCCGCTCGCCCGCCCGCTGGCTCGCTCGGCCTGACAGGTCCCTCGCCACACTCACCCTCGATCCCGGCCGCGGTCTCGGTCACTGGAATAACTCGACATGGCGTCAATGGTTGCGGTGAGAGGGAACGACCCGGCGGAAAGGGAATCCAGCTGCGACGAGTCGCGGAGAGGAGGCCTCGGCGACGGCCAAGCCTTTGCGGGGGCGTCACCGGCGGAGGGAGGGCGGTGACGAGGCCGGAGCTGCGTACCCGAGGACCGGTGGCAATGAATGAGGTGCCGGCTGCGTCCCGGCGGCCCGTTTTATAGTCTGGCCCGCCTCCTCGCCGCAAAGGACGATGGGAGCCGCTCTATGACCTCATCGCCCCGCCCCGCCCCCCCCCGCGCGGCTGGAGGCCTCAACGCCCGCTGGCGTTCGGGAATCCGCCATGTCCTCGCCCCTCCCCCCCGCGGGCGCTCTCTTCCCCCCCCCACCACAGGCGCCCGTTTGTCACCTCCCCCCCCCCACTCCACGACAGGGTGACACCACGAGCACGCCTCGGCCCGCACTCTTTGGACCGCCACCCCGCCTTCTCTCGTCTGGCCACACCTCAAGCGAGCCGCTGCCCCGGTGGCCCAGGCGGTCACTAACTAAGATGGCCCGCGCCGGCCGCCTCGCAGCCTCCGCTTGAAGATGTTTACGTCTCCCCAGACTCCCCCACGCCCATTCCCGAAGACGACGGGGAGGCGGAGCCCGCCTTCGTCACGTGGTCGCGCCCGGGGCCCGGCGGGCCGCACTACTTCTTCTTCGCTGGGGACCGGCGGAGGGATACCTAACCGCGGACTCACCGGAAGCGCGGCCCCAGCGCCCCCGGGGAGATCGGCCGGGCTGCTGGGTGACCTGGCTGCCTGGCCCCGCCGACCTGAGGACCCTGAAGCGGGATCTAGCCCGCGGGGAAGGGTGTCTAGAGCCCGCAAACGGCCGCCGGAGCGCGTGCGGCCAGAGGAAGCGCTCCTCGGGCGACCAATCAGCGGCGAGGAGCCGTTTTAACGTCCCTCCCTCTCCCTGCCCTCCTTTCCCCCCCGCTCTCTGGTTCCCACCCCCTCCTCCCCGCCTCGGCTCTCTCCGGTTCGGCCCTTCCAGGACACCGTCGCCCGCGCTCTCGGGAGTCCGGCCGCGACCTTTCTTGGCAGTATGGCCAGCTCAGAGGCCGGTGAGTCTCGGCCTGCAGCATCCAGCTGGCCTCGGGCCGACCTGGACCGCGTCTGGGCTTCTGGAGAGGCTCGTGACTGTCGGACAGTGGTCACAGTCCCGGGGGTGGGGTCTCTGAATTTAGGGTCTCAGCCTCGCGACCTTTTGGGGTGTCTGGGCGTGGAACGGAGAGTTGGGATTGACAGCAATTCTTTGGCCAGTCTGGAACACCCGCATCCTGTCTTCACAGAGCAGTCAGGATCCTTCTCTTACCCGAATTTCGTGGGACATGTATTGTTTTTTTTTTTTTTTTTGAGGCATAGCACTCATAAGATCTTTTGATGTCCTCCAGAGTAACCGATTTTGTCTAGTACTGGCTTTGAAAAGCCAGTTGACTTGGTTGTCTAGGACGCTTACCTCCTCACCAGGACAGCATACAAAATGGTTGTCATGGCTTGGACTGCCGTGAGAAATGGGCATCGGGAGGGAGGCATGACGGGCATGGCACATTCAGACTATTGTCTCCAGAATATCTGTCCATCTCATACTGGAGATGTGTCCAGTTCTAACGTGCCTTCTCTAATACCCAATAATTTCAGGATACAGGTGTTTCAAGCTTTCGAGATTATTGCTGAAACCCTTAAACTTGGTCCTGCGCTATAGGGGAGGGTAAGAGCTGTTTAAAACAAAAAACAACGGGGAGCAGTATTACTAATGTGCTAATTCAGAGCCTAGCGATATGTTTATGGTTTCCTCATGTTTACCTTCGTCTACATCAAGTATAATAAAAAAGAAAACTAACAAATGCATTAGTGTCGGTGTTGTCCTTATTCCAGTTCCTAACAGCCTAAATCAATCACTTGTTTGGGCACCAGAGAGATCTTAACTTACACAAGATAACTGGGAATTTGGAGCCACCTCCGTTAGATTCTGGCAACTTCAGATTATCATTTACAACTGTCTTACGACATTCCTGCTTACCTATAAATGTATTGTAACTAAAAACACCCATGTAAGTATAAAAATACTGGTAGATGGATTTTAGGTTGCAAGAGTAAAGTTGGGTTGGAACAATAGTTTTGACTGTGTAGGATCTACCACTGGAAGGCATCCCAAGAAATTAAATACATCTTTTGAAAATTTTTGCTCAGTTGAGTGTTTGAAGTTTAGTGACAAAGTCCTTATCTTCTACAGTTTTCAATGTATATGCTTGTATGGCTTTTTTTTTTAAATGTATATGTGACTTTTTCTATTGCTATTGAAGACTGATTCCCCCACCTTCTTCTCCAACAGAATGGGTAACAATTGCCAATAACCTTCTTTTTAAATGTCACATACATCTGAGGATACACGAACTTGAAGACTGTGATGCTAATGTTTTTATTGCACTTTATCAATCCATTTTGGGAGAAAAGGTACCAGGTAAGGGTACTGAAAATTGAGAATAATTTTGGTTATGTTTTAGGCCATGGGTTTCTGTTGACATAGAATTTTATTTCCTTTTCAGCATTTTTTTTTTTCTTTTGGTTTTTCGAGACAGGGTTTCTCTATGTAGCTTTGCCCCTTTCCTGGAACTTGCTTTGTAGACCAGGCTGGCCTCGAACTCACAGAGATCCACTTGCCTCTGCCTCCCAAGTGCTGGGATTAAAGGCGTGTGCCACCACGCCTGGCTTAACACTTAATTTTTTTTTTTTTGAGATTTATTTTTATTTTGTATGTATGGGTGTTTTGCCAGCATGCAGTGCTGGGATTAAGGCGAGCACCAATACCGCCTGCTCAACATCTTAATTCTATCCAACTATGCCACTAGTTGATTTAATTAGTATATTATGGACCTCACCCACAATAAGAGCCATGATTAAATAGTTTGGCATTTATTTGAGTTAATCCCCTTTTAATCCAATCCCATGTAATTCATTCATGCCTTTTAATGTCATTATTTCTGTGACTACCTTCAAGGTTATAAATTTGAGTGGGTCTTGGAAATTTGTTGAGTCTATTTAACTACTAATTATAGATAAGAATTAACATTACAGTGGGTGTACTGGCCAGGCTGGTCTACATAGAGAATTCCAAAGTTACATTGACTCTGTCTCAAAAAAAAAAAAAAAAAGCTGTTTCTACTTTGTTAACCTAATTTACTAGGAAGACAGTCAATGAATGTGACTTAGTGTGACTGCTCCTTTTCTTTTAGGGGCCAAATCACTGTGTGTCTTCCATTAACCTTTTCCTTAGATTCCTTACTGCTTCTTTGTCCCTTATTGATAAACACGAATTGCTATAAAATTAGTGTCCTTTCGCTCTCCCCACTGTTAACTTGAATGAGTGTCCTCCACATTTTCTAGAATAATGGTCTGACTTGTGGTTGTAGTACCTTGATGTTAGTTTCAATTATCTAGGGTTCATCTTTTTGTTTTGTTTTTTCAAGACAGGGTTTCTCTGTGTAGCTCTGGCTGTCCAGGAAATTGCTCTGTAGACCAGGCTAGCCTCAAACTCAGAGATCCACCTGCCTTTACCTCCAAGTGCTGGGATCAAAGGTGCATACAGCTCCACCCAGAGGAAACACTTGCCTTGCTATTAAAATCTTTCCATAATCTCCTCTGTACTTTAGCCTTTATACAGTTATTCCCAGATAGGGCATATAAAAGAGGACTACTTGGACACCTGCTGTGGTTTGGTATTCTGGTTTTGTTTTTTGAGACATAGTATCACACCATATAGCCTCAGTTGACCTAGAACTTGCTATGTAGACTAGGCTGTACTCTGCCTCCCGAAAGCTGGAATTAAAAGCATTGTGCCTGGCTGATTGGGGAAAGCAGCCCATAGTTAGGGGTTTAGTATCTTTTTGCTTTTTTTTAAGACAAGTCTTGTCATATAGACCAGTGTACTTGCAAACTCATAATGCAGCTACAATCTCTCCAGTGCTGAGATTATAGACATGTGTCATCATACCCAGTCTTGCTGTTATTAGACTATCTTAATGCCGTGAATATAAGGACCTCTGTTTATTCCTTTATATGGTGCATCCATAGAATATACTCATACATTGGGTGAAAAATATTCAACCATTTTATATATATAGAGTATTGAAAAATAAGTTCAAATTAATAAATAGTCAATCAGTACAGACTCTAGCACATAGAGTTTAAGATCTATAAATCCTGTTTTGAGTTGTTTTGTAGCAGTGGATTTTATTCACAAGCCTAGTCACAGACACATATATATGACAAATATAAATGATCTAAAATGACGCGACTTTCCCTCCCCCACAGACCTCATAGCTATTTCCAGGAGTCAAGAAGATGATGCCCACAATGTACAAGCAGTGATTGATTCACTAGCTCTGGATTACCTTCAGGTCAGCTTGTCTCACATAACAGGTTAGTGTATACTTACCCATCAGATAATTATATATTTTAATTGAATGTTAGAGTCTTAGCTATTGTTTAGCCAAGTCCTAACAGGAAAACTAAGACTGAGCTACAACAATCAGTGTGCCATGAGAGCCCTGGAAAACTGAACATTAAGTCTGTGCTAGTCTGGGTTGGAAAAGTATTGGGAGTATGTGTTTTTGAATTTTTTTTTTTTTTTTTTTTTTTTGTAGTAGTAGTTTGTTGTTTTTTTTTTGAGACAGGGTTTTTCTGTGTAACCCTGGCTGTCATGGAATTCCTCTGTAGACCAGGCTGGCCTCAGACTCAGAGATCTGCCTGGCTCTGCCTCCTGAGTACTGGGATTGCATGCACCACCACTGCCCAGATGAGGATATTCTTAATATACAATTTCACATTACAGAAGACAATCTTCAGTGTATACTGCATTAGAGGAATATATCTTTTTGATGATAATAGCACATGCTACATTTGTTAGAACAAATGTGGAAAAAAATCTGTATGTACTTGATTGCATTCAGGAAGACTTTCTAGAAGAATATGTAAGAAACACATTTCTCTGTTTGTTCCTCTTACTCTCACCCATCAGTCCCCAACTAGGAACACACGCCGTATGTTTTGTTCTGAATGCAACACAGCGTACCCTAGATTATTTAGGAAGAAGCTTTCAAAAATAGTTTATATCAAATTGTGTCTGTGTCTGTGTGTGGTGCTAGAGACTGAACCCAAGGTCCCCTACCCTCGAGGCAAGCACTCTACCAATTAAATTACATCTCCAAGTGTTTTAAAGAGATAACACGGTTCATCATGAGCATCAAACAAGACCATCA